GCGAACATACAACTAAAAATTAAAACTTTAAGTAAGACTTATTTGGGCTTTAATTCTTTTAGCCAATCAAAACTTATGAAAAAGGTTACACAAATCACATGTTAGAATTTGGACTAAGCGCCTATGTCCAATCAAAAAATATAGACAATATGGACATAGTCCATATTTGTCCATGTCCAATGGTCCATATTGTCCATGTCCATATTTGGCCAACACTGTTTCATTGAGATGAACATTTTGATATTTAAAACATCTGAAACAGACCAGTGAATCAAAAGTTATTTACTATCAAACATATTTACATAGTAATTCTAAAATCTCTTATTAAAATCACATAAAACTTGAATGATCTCAAGATCTCATAATTGGATTTTAACAATTTTGAGCTCATTAGAATTGTCTTATTGAGACGAACATTTTGGTGGCTAAATTATCCAGAACAGATCAGTAAATCAAAAGATATCAGCAATTTTAAAAATCAGTATATATGATTATAAATTGCTATTAACCTGTTTGTTAGATGGGAATCATTTAGTCGAATAGAGAGAGAAAAGAGAAGTTTGCGTATATTGTTGTTATTTATCACAATGTGGTGAAAGAAAAATTAATTCTGACAACCCTCTACAAAATAATCTGTGGTATACTAAATATAAAGTGCTTTTATACTGCTCTAAATCAAAACTATATTGTTTTAGAGATTTTCATTTCAAAAATCATAAAAACTAGTTTTAATTTCAGATTTTATTTTATTTTATACTAATCATTTTTCATATTAAATAATAAATAAATAAGAGTAAAAAAAAAAAAGTGAATAAATAAATAAATAAAATAATGCAGATAAGACAAAAAAATGACAAAAAAGTAAGCACAAAAAATAAATACAAAAAAAAGTTAAATAAATATATAAAATAAAGACAAAATTTGATTTTAATAAAACTAAAGAACTATTGCAGTGATAAGTCGTATAATATCTATCTTTATATATAACAATATTTAGTAACTATATTCAAAGCGAGACTGCAAACGTATTTTAAAAGATTTAAATAGTTATTCAGCCTCAATTGTATGATGAATTGACATCACACTTGGTAAAAAAAAGGCTTAACATATTAAATATTTGTACTTTATATATAGTTTTATCCAATTTATACAATATAGATTTTAAAAAATTATATTAAATTTTAGAGTATTGCTAATTTTAACCGGGTGAATTTCTTCCCAATCACGTGATATGCATAAATATTTAATTTTATATAGTATACTTTATATAATAATATATATAAATAATTAATATATTACACAATATATTTATAATTTATAAATAACTAACACATATTATATGAAGTACACATTAACCATCTTTTTCCCTATAGATGCATTACACAAAATATTTAAAGGAAGTTTGATACAAGTCACTCTCATTATAGTGAAGTGATCGCGCTATAAGATTTTCTTCACTATATCGAGAACTATTAGTAAATTCACTATATCGAGAGACTTTTATAAACATGTTATTATTATAACAGATGGTTCACTATAATGAGAGTAACTTGTACATTATTCGATCAATAAATTGAAATAATTTAGTTAAGTTAGATGAGTTGATAAATACTACAAGAAAAATCTAGTGAAAATATACTTACTAATTGTTATTGTTACCAATTCCGAACTGATTATAATTATAGACTTTAGTATGTTTAACATTATGCTTAGCCTTAACATTAGTATAGTTAGTATATATAAACAATTAAACATTCAAGTTGATTTTGCTAGCTTATAAAAACAGTTCAAAAGCAAAAATAAAAGCAAATTAAAAATTCATGATCTAAGCTAAGTACATATAACCTGATCTAAATTTAATATGCAAGTTGTTTACTAATCATTATTAAATTTCAGCTTTGCAGGTAGCCCAATTATGACCCTTTTCACCACATCTTTTGCATTGCTTTCTATTATTAGATGGTTAGATGTTGGTATCAGTATTGGACAAACAGTGATGTTTTTTTGTATTTGATTCTTGAATTTCAACATCACTTTTCACTCTACCCAGAGGTCTTCCTCTTCTTGCAGAAACAATAGGATTAGCGATTGGAATATTTTTAGATTGATCATCTTTATTTAACGCTAATTGCTTGTTTGTAAGAAATTGCTGACATAATTCAATTAATTCGTCATATGAATTACTGTTGATAGCAACATTGATAACCTTCTTCATTAACCCATATGTGTAACCATATTTTGACCATGTATTGTTTATATTTTGAAGAACTGGGGTATATAATTTACCTCCCTGCAATTGCTTTACATGTTCAAGATTGAAAGTATGATTAGTTACAGCATAATTTTTAGATGATTCTATATATAATAAAATAGGATTATGTTGCATCAAAAAATCTTGGTTATTATCGATTTTGTTATCTCTATACCACCGTTTTAATATGAGACCAATATGCCATTGTGCATATGGAGAAGTTCAAAGAATCTTGTAGAAATGACAACACAGATAACTATATGTAACTAACATATTACAAATACATCTATGTGAACCATCTGATATTAATATCACAAATTGAGATTTTGTACTACACGAAAAAGTGAGGTGCCAAATTTCGAGAATTTCTAAGCTTTCAATTGTCTTTAGAATATCTGTCAGTAAAATTTGTGGTAATTCATAATTATCCTCATGTGCCTTATCATTTACATTATTATCTAAGTGTATCTAAATAAAAGAAAAAAATTTTTAGCACTAATTTTGAATGTTATAGTGGATATAGTTATATACAGAATGTAAATAAGCTATAAAATAGGTGCCCGAGGGCACCTTATCAAAGAAAAAAAAAAAAGATTAAATATACTTTTTCAATTAAGTTCCAATCGGCAAGATCAAGCTTATAAGCATCATAAAAAAAACATTTCTGCATTTGTTTACGAATACATATTGATACTGATTCTGTTAAGTATTCATTCACAATAGTATTCAAAGAATTAAAAAAAGTTTTTGGTATTGTCGCAACTCCAACCATAGGTATTTGATGTTTGTACTTTTCAACGCTTGTATATTCAAATTCTTGATTGAGCAAATCTTGAATTTCTTTAACGAGAGTCATTAAAAAAGAATTCGCCCTGACACAATCATAGATTTTTTTATTAAAACTTTCAACCCATTGTGTACTATTCGCTCCTGCAGTAAATTGATTATTAATATAGCAAACTGCCCATTTCATTTTGCAAGGCTCAAGTTGACGTTTGATATAATTGGTGATAGCTGCGTATTTAGACTTGAGCACCTCAAATCTGCTTTCAAAAATATCAATCACTATTGTATTATGGCATATGTAAAAGTCCTTGAAAATTCATTAAATTGAGCTGTGTTCATTTTGTTTCTTAGGTTTTTTTTTAAATTAAGATTAATATGAAACAAGCATAAACAATATAAAGATCTTGAAAACACAGTTAGAATCGTATTTGACATTGCCATATCAGAATCCGTATAAATTACTTGTGACGCCAAATTATCAGTACATTCACTAATCATATGAAGAGCCCAAATAAAACTCTCTTCAGTCTCATCCTCTAATAAAGCAGTAGCAACTAGACGAGTACGGTTACAATTATCAATGGCTACAAAGAAGCACGCAACCATATTATATTTGTTAGTACGTGATGTGGTGTCAAAAAAAATGATATCATGAAACCTTGTCCAAAGATATTGCTATTCAGGGGAAAGAAAAATAAGACTACACAATCTTCGCTTAGGGCCATCAAATCTAGCTTCTACGAACCACCTAGGATCATTAATTTTGAGATTATATATATGTAACAAAAGATTCGACGCATCCAATTCATTGTTTAATGGGTATTTTCCTTTTGCCTTCTGAATTGTATTATATAAATTTTTCTTATGTATTTTTTGACCTGGAAATTTATTCTTTAGAAGTTGCTCTATGTTTCGTGCCTCAGTTGTGCCATGTGTTATGCAAAAATCGATGAATTCTAGCATATTTTCACCTAATCTACGGTAATTTGAAATTGTGATTGATGGTGTGGGTGACATTGGATGGTTATGTGAATTGACAACTGTTGTAAATGTAATTATTGATGATGATTTAGGCATATTTGCATTGATGTGCTATTTACATCCAGTGCATTTTGATTTACGATTTCGTTGCTCTTCCAGATTTAAAACCTTTTTGGGCTGGTAATTACTAGCACAACCACATTCCCAGCTAACTTTACGTATAACTTGTTTACCATCCTCGAGACATGACTCATTACATTTTTTTCGAATA